ATGCACAAAGCAAAATGAATGAGCAAGATCCTGAAGCATTTACTAATGTTGCCAATCCAACTATTACCAAACACAAGAGAAGACCTCCAAAAAGACTTAAAGCAAATGTTGAACAGTCTGGGTCTAACAGAAACTGGGTAAATCGTGTTTTGAAGAATAGCATACAAGATAATATGAAGAATGATAATAATATTCTAGAAGATGAAACTAATAATTCAAAGGGACGAAGATGTGAATGTTGTAGGGAGTATAGACATTATGCAAAAACATGTCCAAATGTAGTTTAGCAATTATGATATTATACGAACTTTAAATAAAATCGATAAATTGTATCGCAAAATCATATGATATTAGTGAATCACGTGACCTATGTCCGGACATCCTGTGTACAAATAGTATCACTCTTTTATATATTATTAAATCTTTTATTTTATTAAGCTAAATAAATTAAATATCTAAAATCTTTTTAATTAGATAAATTTTTAAGTAATTTAGATAGAATTTAAAAAGATGAACTGTAAAAAATTCAGATTATTAAATTAAATTAATATTAAATAATATGTTTAGTTTTTTTTTATTTTTTATTATTTATATATTGTAATTTTTTTTTTATATATAAATTAAATAATATAATACTATATATAATTAAAATGTTATAATATTTCTTTTATATATATATTAAAAATATATTATATTATTAATAAAATTAATATAATTTTAATATAATATAATATAATAATACTACAACTATTTATAATCTTATAATATTTATTTATTATTAGTTATAATTAATTATAACTCAATTTTTATTAATATTACAACTAATTATAATTTTATAATAACTATTTATCTTTTAAACTGTAAAGCAAGCAAATTTGTTTACAAACATAAAAAAAAGTATTAATTTTTTAATAAAATATAAAATATTAATATTAATAATATAATTATTATATAAAAAAAATATAGTTTAATATATATTTTATCAACTTTATTAAGTTTATTAAGAAGTTTTTTAAATAATTCAATTTTTAAAATTAAGTTTTGAAAATTTTATTATAATAATTTTTTAAAAATTTTCTTAAAATTCATGTTTACGAACTAATTAAAATAATTTACTATTAATAAAAGTTATAAAATTTCTTAATAAATTATAAAATTGTAATAATTAAAGTTATTCTTCATGATAAATTTTATAATATTCTATTATAATTAATATTACTAAAAGTTAATGTTAATAGATAGTCAAAGGTCAATGATAAAAATTATTGATTTATAATTTTTTTAAAATTACAAATTTTTAGTTTATAAGTAACCTTAAATTATTTATTATATAATTAAAAAATAAAATTTACTATAATAATATATTTATAAAATTAATTTTTAAAAATTTTTTAAAAATTTTAATTTTTTATAAAAGTAAATCAGAAAAGAATTTATAGTAAAAAAAGTGAGCAAATTTACTTATGAACTTCTATAGTTTAAGTAGTACTAATATTAGAAATAGATATCACTTTAAGTTCAAAAAATATCACATGAGAATTGTCAAGTAATAATGCATAGTAATGATCAACAATTACTGTGATAGGTGAATTAAAAAAATATTAAAAATCTATATAATTTACCTAATTGACTAAATTTACCAGTTTTATCTGATACTGCAAATTTTAATTATACTCATAATGATAAATAACTTTTCATTCTAAAATGTCTTTATTATATTTATTTATTTTATATAACTTATCTTATATTTTATATCTTTATTTTATTATTTTTTATTATTATTTTATAGCTAAAGTTTATTAAATAATTAATTTATAGTATAGTAAATAGTTAGCTATAGCAAATTAATTTTGTATAAATAGAATAGCTTTTTGCTTAAGTTGTAAATTAATTTATTTATAAGTTTCTTATAAGTTTTAGTATTATAAATAAAGAAATTAATTAAATTCATATAAATTTACTTTTTCTTTAACGTTATCTATTATTTAGAATTTATTGTAATACCTTATACTAAATTATTATTGAGTTTATTATTACGAATTTAACTAATATATCTTAAATTTTAAGATATAATAAATTGCTAAGTTGATTCAAATATAACGAATACCTGTAAAATTTAAAGGAAATTCTAAGATCAGAAATTCTAATGTGTAAAATCAACTATCACAGCCTTTTGACTTAAACATTAAGATAACTGAAAATAAATCTGATAACAGCAGTAATATAAATTTTTAATGTTTTAGAGATTTTCTATCCTAACTATATATTTAAACTATATATCTTAACTTATTTTATACTATATCTCAAATGTTCCATCTGTTTTATCTATATTCTATTAATATACTATAGTAGATAGATTAAGTAGACATCACTATATATATAGTGATGTCTACTTAATCTATCTACTTACACTATATTGATGC